ACAAGTAAGCAGTCAGTAATAAAATAAGAACAAATAAAGAAATTAATAATGATAGCACAAATAAAAAATAACGACAGGCCTTCGAATTAAATAAATTGCTTTTTAGTTTTTCAGGTAGGTCTAACAGTAGGGTTAAGATATTTATCCATTTTATATCCAGATATTATCCAAATAATGTTTAGTCCTAGACAGCTGTTATTATCACAACACGCGAGCATAACAAGCGGTTAGCAGATCAGTGAATGAGAGGGCAGCGTTACCAGAGTTGCCCATATACCACACCATGTTACAACACAGTAGGGCTATTGCAGACAGAAATAATACTGTACTACATCGATGTTTCCTGTCGGCTCGATTTTTGAGTGGACTTCTGTTCCGATTCGCATGAACGGTATACGAGTGGAGCGACTGAGCGGAGCGCACACGCATAGAGCGGATAATACGCAGAGCGTCACACCACGTGAAAGTGAAACCTAATTTTCGGCAGCCGAAATTTCGGTGCATCTCTAATTATTGGCGACATCAGAAATGGATATTATATAATAGATGCTTTTTTGAACATTTTAGCAATTTAAAAATATTAAAAAATTATTTTTTTACACGGCACCCCTGCTCTCGACAGACGGCACCCCAGGGTGCCGCGGCACCCCGGTTGGGAAACACTGGTCTATACAATAATAAAATGCACTGTGTCTGTGAGGTTTCGAGCCAATAGTCACATTTATCTGAAGCACCTTTGTATATTAGTTTTAAACTCATAATTCAAAACTGTCTTAGATTACAATGATATTTGTGAATTCTTCTAAACTAAGAACATCATACTTTTGCCCAAAATAGCTATTTTAATATTTTGTTTCATTTTTTTATTTTTATTAAATCCATTAAAAAGATGCTTTTTAATTAATGGCAGGTTTCATTGTGACAATATGACTCGTTATAGACAGCAAAAAAAAAAAAAAAAAGCCAAAATATATTTGCTAAAATGTGTTCCAAAATGCATAAATAGCTTATATTTTCTTTCAATAGTCTATATTTTTGGCCATTTTTTTTTTTGTATATTTTTGAAAATATATTTTTTAAATATAAATATATATTTTAAAAACATTAAAAATAGATATGGTTGGCCTGGCCTCCATATATTTCAATCCAAGAAAATGCATTCAAGTCACATTTGAAGAACAACCTACTGTAAGATTAGAAACTGCACCTGAAATTTTGAAAACTATATTTTCACTTTCAAAAAATAAGTTTCATGGAGCTTACTGTTTACAACATATATTTAGCATATACTTAAAACATATTTCAATAATGCACAAATCTTCTGTTCCATCCAGATTCATACATTATTATTTATTGTTAAGTCTTACTTATTTAAATTATTTCTGTTCTCATTTCAGATAGGCCTATGTATGTATTTATGTATGTATGTATGTAAGAGCTCCTTAAAAAAACAACAAATTCTTTGTGTGTTTGCGCACACTTGGTGAATAAAGCTAATTCTGATTCTGATCTGATTTTGGTCATAATATTGGCCTTATGGGATGTTAAATATTTGTTTATGTTAAATGTTTTCCATTAGTTTAATTAGTTCTGTCAAACGATTAATCGTGATTAATCGCATCCAAAATAAAAGTTTTTGTTTGCATAATATGTGTGTGTGTTCTGTGTATATTTATTATGTATATATAAATACACATACAGTATATATTTTGAAAATATTTACATGTCAATATTTCTATTCATATAATTTATATTATAAATAAATACATTTAATATATAAAAATAACATATTTATCTGAAATATATACATGCATGTGTGTGTATTTATATATACATAATAAATATACACAGTACATATACATATATTATGTAAACAAAAACTTTTATTTTGGATGCAATTAATTGCGATTTATCGTTTGACAACACTAATTTTAATACATTATTTTTGTATCCAAAAGCATGTTTGATTAGCCTACGTGAGATTCATCATCAATTAGATGATTAGATTGCACAATATGGTCTTGGATTTCCCTTAAATCAGTTGGTTTTGTCATATTATCTAGTTTTTAGAACTAGTCTACTTTATTTCACAATGTGGAAGTTAGCTATTTCCTGCGAAACTTCATTAGCCGTTATGTAAATAACTACAAGAATAACGAAGTGCAGTGAACGCTAAAACTGTTTGCGCTACAAACCAGTGTGTTTATGATTATGATAATGAGTTAAAATAACATGATACAACAACTGTCTGTTTTTGTAGCCTACAGGTAAAATAACTAGTGAATGACACCGGAAGCCTCGTATATTCAAGGTACAAATGGCCGCGCGCGATCTTACGTAAAAAATAAATCAATAAATAAAACTCTTGGATAAGTGAGCTATAGAACATCAAGGGTGTAATACAATTTTAGTATTATTTCCATAGGGCTTTTCCTGATTAATCTGTGCCTAGAGAAATATCTGAAGATGAATTCCATGAATAGATTTCTATTGAGGCCAAGGTCCCAAGGAATGCCACTGTCATACAGTGAGTGACCCATCATATCACAGTGCTCCAGAATCATTTACCATCACACATTGTTCGATGCAAGTTCATCTAAATTGGATCCTAAATCCCAAAGTTAGTGTTTTAAGCTTTAGGTGTTATCTTTTAAGCACACATTCTTTCATCAGGCCAGTAGTGACTGGTAAGGTATAGGCTACATGAATGCTCCACTGTTTTGGACACAAACAGCTCTTGGTAGACTTCATCTGGTTATACACATTTCTTACCTCGACACGCTCACAGAAGTGATGGTGCCCTTTTTATATAAAGATGATGAAACACAAACATGGTGAAAACATTAATCTTCCAGTGTTCCAGTACAGTAACGCTTTTGAAGATTTATGATGGAGTAAAAACCAATTTCCCTCTATAGATGAAGTGAGGGTCAAACAATGAGTGATCTACACTGGAGGAGGTCGGGGGGTTTCTTATGGCGAAATTTCAAGAAAATACACACACATGCACACCGTCTCTATGATGACTACCTCCACTCCTCCAAATTACAGTAACACAATGCTTGCTTGTTTTAGATTGATTAGCCTATATACATTTTTATATATATACAGCTTTGAGTTTCATATGAGATTGCGAATTTTACAAAGATAAGATTAATTTGGCAGATATATATAGATAGATAGATAGATAGATAGATAGATAGATAGTCCATTAGAAAAAGAAAAGTCAGAACAGAATGGTATGGAAATAAAAAAAAATGAACAATGAATAAAATACAAGTAAAATCAATGATAATGATGAGTAGTGTGTTCTGCAACAGTGTTTAGATTTGTGCCAGTTTTTCTCCTCTGCTTTCTCTGCAGTGCTGCTCTGCCCTGGTTTAATAAGCTCTTGCACTGCAGACACCTGCATAAGAAGTTCTGCTGACCTCTACTTTATTAAACATGCCTTCTGGGCAAAGAAAACCTGGCCTGTGCTTTAACAACATACAGATAAGGCAGGGTTGACAGATCAAAATGAAAAGCTAAACTAAACGTGGTGTTCATTGAATTTTAATATTCAGTCAGAACAAACTTTGAGCCCTGTAAACTTCAAAAGTAAAATTCCCAAAGCACATCGTTACTTGACAACCATCAACGTCTTCATCTTACCGGCCCTTCTGTATATATATATAAAAAAAAAATAAATAGCCACAGTTTTATACTCATTTTAATCTTGAGATTATAATTTAGTAATCAAAGAACAGCTTTGAAAGAGGAATTCCATTTTCATTTTTTGTTCCAATTCTGAGCCTTTTATAATTGGTCTTTCTGAGCACTTCAAAAGGATTTCAAAGCAATCGCTTCAGTTATTCACCTACTGATAAGCTTAAAGGAACAGTTCACCATAAAATTTAAATTTGAATACCGGTATTATTTTCTTACCTATATGTCAAAGTATATGACCTTAATTCTTCATATTTATTTATACACTATTGTTCAAAAGTTTGGGACCGGTAAGATTTTTTGAAAGATATGTCTTATGCTCACCCAGGCCGCATTTATTTGATAAAAAATACATTCTCACGAATAGGTTTTTGAAATGAAAATTTGCTGAAAATGTACTCAGCCTCAGGCCATCCAAGACTCATGACTTCAGTCCATCAATCCTTCATGTCTCAAGTCCTTCACATCTTGTGAAGTTAAAAGCTGCGTGTTTGTAAGAAACAAATCCATATTCGAGGTGTTTTAATTTTAAACTGGCACTTTTGGCCAAAATGTGAGTCCATAATCCGTGATAACACTTCATCCAGTGAAAAAGACCATCCTCTGTTGTCCTCTCCCAAAATCCTCTCACATATTTGTTTAGAACTCTTTTGATCCATGGTTGCTGATCTATGCATATTTCTCTCCTGATTCAGATAAGACTGCTGATTCATAAAAGCAATATTATGAATAGAGGACTTATTTGAAGTTACAAACATGCAACTTTTCACTTCATAAGATGTTAACTGATGGACTGGAGTGGTGTGGATTACTGTGATGTTTTTATCAGCTGTTTGGACTCTCATTCTGACGGCACCCATTCACAGCAGAGCATCCATTGGTGAGCAAGTGGTGTAATGCTACATTTCTCCAAATCTGTTCTGAAGAAAAAACAATAGGAGAATTTTTTTTTCTCTCAATAGAAGTAGTTTTATGCATCAGTATGACATATATAAAAACATTA